TTTATGATTTATTATATATTTATCTTATTTATCTTCTTATTTATTTATTTTATTTATATTTTATATTTATTCATTCTTTATTCTTCATTTTGTTTTAATTTATATTAAAATTATTTAGAAATGAGAGAATATAATATTGAATTTGATTTTATATTTTGATTATTTCATTAATCAAATTGTTGATTAATGATTATTGTTGATAAATTTCATATTTCATTTTATTTTATTATTATTTTATTGATGATTTCATTATATTGATTGTTTATGATACAAATAAATACTTCTTATTGTTTAATATCATCTAATTCATTCATTAAATGATGAAATATTTCATTTATTTGTATTTATATTGTATATGTACATATTAATATATTCAATAATCAAAATGATAAATATAATAATAAAGAAAGAAAATATATAAAATAATATATCAGAATAATAAATAATATAATCATATAATGAAAATAAGATAATGAATATAAAGAATAATAATATTAAAATAATAAATAAGAGATAACATGAATAATAATGAAATCAAAATAATAAATAAAGAAATAAATAATAACAAATATAAATGATTAATATTGAATTAATATATTAATCTATATAAAATATCTATAAATCAATAATAATAAAATAACATATATCCATAACGATAATAAATAATATTTCATATTCTATCTCATTCATTTTATTTTAAAATAAATAAATAAATAATAAAAATAAATATAATTATTCAATTATAATTTATATATTCATTCATTATTTATAATAATATATAAATATTTATGTACATTCATTTTATATATTTTATATAAAATATTCATTAAATCTAAATCATGAATATATTAAAATAAATTATATGAATGATATAATATTAAATATATAATAAATATAAAATAAATATTATATCATTCAATAACATCATTATTATTAAATTTACAAATATAATATTTGATATATTTGAAAATAAATGAAATTAAACAATGAATAAGTTATTAAACACATTAATATTCAATAATTAATGATGAAATAATAAAATATAATTATTTATAATAATTTCTTTATATTTCTTATTCTTATGTTCATTATATTATTATATTCATCATTGAATAATGACAAAAACAATAAATATCATAATGATTGAAATAAAAGAATAAAATAGAAATATAATCAAAATAAAGATATAAAATGATAAATATTATAAATAAAAATAAAATATCAATATTTTTATTATTATATTTCATAATAATAACTTATTCATTATCAAATTCAACAATAATATTCAAATATTGATATATTGAACCATTCATATTTATTCAATTATAATATAACAATATGATTAGATTATAATAATGAATGAACAGATATTAATAATGTATAATATGATGATATAGAATATGATAAATATCAAATATTTCATTGATATTATTACATTTAATAAATACAAATTTTATAATTAAAATCATCAATAAATGAAAATATAAGAAAATATAAGAAAAATAATAAGAGAATGATAAATAATAATGAATAATCAAAATAAATTTATTTATTTTTATCATAAATATTTATATTAATCAAATTAAAATATAATATAATGATAATAAATATTGAATGAAATAATGATAAAATGATAATATAAAAATAATAATAATTTTAATATATTTTGTATTTGATTTTTAATAATAATAATCAATTAAATATATAATAATTCTATATATATTCATTTCATGATATCTTCATTTATTTACAATATGTAAATATATCAAAATGACATATTAATGATGAATTACATTTATTTTTTCATTTTTAAACAACATAAAAACAAAATACTAAATAATAAGAATAGAAACAAAACATAAATAATATATAAAAAAAGAAACAATGATAATAAAAGAAATAAAGAACAAATAATGAAAAGAATAAGAGAAAATATAAAAATAAAAATATATCATAACGATAAAAAAAATATAATTTATAAAATAAAAATAACAAAATAAAAATAATTTCTAAAAAACAAAAAATAAATAAATAAAGAAATAATTATTATAATTAATAATAAAATAAAAATAAAAAGAACAAAGAAAAGATAGAGAGAAAAAAAAAATAATACCATAACATACATAAAATTATACTAAGTTTAAATTAATAATCAAATAACCAAAGAAAAAATGAATAACAAAAAATAAATTCATTGAATTTTTTTCTTGCAATCCAAATGTCGTTATTGCATTTTGTAACTGATATGGTAATGTTGCCAAAGATATTACTAATTTGTGACGTGTTGAATAATTAAAGTATTCAAGGACATGTCTTAACCATTCTCCATACTTTGCTTTGATATCTCTTATTGTGTAAATTATTCCATTATCATTAATTGTGTTAATAAATTCATTAGGACTACTTCTATATGTATTGGCTGTTTGAATTTTTGATATTTTGGTATTGATTATGATTCCATCTTGGGCTCCTCTTATTTTGCACCATTGTGTGAGAGTATTCATAAATAGATCATGAACATCTTTGCTTAGATATCGTTTAACAGCTTCTTTATTTTGAAGTTGATTAGTTAGAGCTGTAATATGTTCACGAAATATTTTGGCTGTCCAAAGATGTCCTTCAACTTCAACAGAGACCAATTTCATTTCGTTTCTCTTATCAATAACCTTTTTTCTTGTTGGTAGTTTAACAGTAACAATTCCTCCTTTAGAAACGATATAACTAATAATAAATCCCCATAAACTAAATATTTTCTCTTGGTGGTCATACTCCTTTTTTAAATGATTTGAGATTTTATGGTGTTCACCGTTTTGCATTTATCTTTTGTTCTGGTTTTAGTTTTTGTTCAGTGCTTTTTATACAAGGATAATGAGGAACCGAATCTTTCATTAAAAAAAAAATAAATGATTTTTGCGAATTACGTTTATCTTTTGTGAAATATTAGTTAAAATAACAATAATATAACAATAGTTTTAATTCATAAAATCTAGATTTTATTGTAATAACAATAGTAATTATAAAAAAATTAAGCGTCATTCATTTCTATAATAAAATCAGATTGAAGTATTTGTTAAATCAACTCATTTTCACATAGTCTAAGAACAAAACGTAATTTCTAATATTAAACACACAGTATCATCACAAAGACCTATTTATAATAAGAAGTAATAATATAATGTTGCTTGTAATGATAAAAAATTCATCCTCATATTTTCATTGTTGAGGTATCCCAAAGATGATCTAAAGAACAATAAATCATGGATATTAGAAGAGGTTCTGTGAAATTTAAATCATATATATTTGTAGAAATTAGATTGAAAAGGACAGTATGTTATTAATACATTAAACTAAACAAGATTTAAAAGAGAAGAAAGTTTAGTTTATTATTAAAAGAATATCTTTCTATCATAAAACAATGTCTTATTCAAATTTAAGTAAGAGTATTGAAGAAGGATTTAATCAGGAACACTCATTTCAACTCAATTTGTTCTCAACTAATACTGTACACAAGAACTTATCATTATTTCTAACCACAATAACTTAGAGAATTAGAGAGTATAAAACACTGTGCTAAATAATCGTTGTTTTGTTGAGAAAATCATGCCAAATACCTCTAAAATAAAATAACTCATCAAGATCAATTGAAATCCTTCATTCATTATTTAAATGTAATTCTTTTGATATTGACAAACTCTTTTAGTAATAGTGAATTTACTACAAAGACCAAAATAAAGACTTTTCTCAAAACAATTATCATTATTCAAACAGAATAAATACACGAAGTACAATTTAAACAATGGAACATTCATGAAACAATGAAAAAATGTTATAGTGTTTACAACAATTAAATCTTCTATTAAAGATACAGGTTATTGGCTAATGAATTAAGAATAGTTAGGATGCATTAGTTAGTGGATGATAAAAGAAGGTGTCTTTCTTTTTTAAAGATTTGTATTTGATTTAAAAGAAACAAATAAAAATGAAGGGAAGAATAAGAATAAAAAGAATAAAATTAAGAAATTATATTATACTATCAATTAATATTTTTAAGAAATAAATAGAGACATATGCAGAAAATATTATTTTAATAAAGCTAATAAGTATAATGATACTTTCAATTAGAGTTTATAATTCACCTGAATTTTCAATTATAACAGGTTTAGTAGTTTCTCCTGAACGATTTCCTTGATTCATAACTTTTTCACAAACATCCATTCCTTCAATTACTTCACCAAAAACAACATGTCGTCCATCCAACCAATAAGTAGGAATCATTTCAATGAAAAATTGACTGTTATTAGTATTTTCACCGTAATTAGCCATTGAAACCAATCCTTTCTTAGTGTGGTTTAATACAAAATTCTCATCATCAAACATATCACCATAAATACTCTCTCCACCAAGTCCATTTGCACTAATAATATCTCCTCCTTGAATAATAAATCCTGGTATTACACGATGAAATTTACTTCCTTTATAATGAAGTGGCATTCCATATTTTCCAATTCCTTTTTCACCTGTACATAGTGCTCTGAAGTTTTCTACTGTTTTAGGTACTATTTCTCCATAAAGACCAATCACAATTCTTCCAACTTTTTCATATCCAATACGAATATCTAAAAACACTTTATTAGTAATTTTTGGTTGTACTTTAGGTGGTGGTTGTGGTCCTCTTTCATTTTCAGCAAAAACAGTTAAAACACATAATAGAAATAAGAAATGCATTATATTTGTTTGCTTTTATAATTTCTTAGTTCATTTAATAAAAAAAAATTTCTTATTAAAAAAATTAAAAGAAAAAATATGGAAAAGAATTCAATTAGAAACTTACTGTGAACCAGCAGCAAGTTTTGATTGAAGTTCAGCAATTTGAGCATCTTTCTTTGCAAGTTCTGTTTCAAGATAATTAACTCTATTCTTGAGTTGTTCCCATTCTTCTCTAATTTCTTTATCACTCTTTGGAGCTTCAACTTTTTTAACAACTGGATTGAATGAAGCAGCAGGTTTTTCTGGTGGGACAAAACCAGGAGCAAAATTGAATGACATATCTGGTTCATTAGAAGTACCTTCTTTCCATTCGTTAGCAGTTTCAACAGGAATACCAGCATAAGTATTTGGGAAAATATCATCTTGGAAGATTTCTGATTTTCTTGGTACACAGAAAGAGATTGGAACAACTCCATCTCTAGTAACTTTCATAAATCTAGTAATTTCACATGTTGTAGTATTGCAAACTCTCTTTGGAATAACTCCTAATCCAGATTGTGGTTTTTCACCTCTGAAAGTATTAAGAGAATAGAAATATGGTTTTTCATGAACAATTTCAAAGTATGAAATTCCTGAATCACCCTTACCTCCAAGATAAAGAATAGATGAATCTGCATCATAGAATGGCATAAGAACACCTGATTGATTATCAACTGTATGTCTACAAAGTGGTGTAGCAAGATTTCTTGGATCCCAGAATGCCATTTCTCTTTCAGCATTTCTTGAAAATCCTGTTGTGAAGATCATTTCATTATTTTGCATCCACAAACATCTCATACCTTTAGATCCTTGATGTGCAAGAACATCACTAGCAACAGTTTGTTGTCTTGGATCAATAATTCTAATTTTCTTATCTTTACAAGTTGAAACAAGTTCACTTCCTATTCTATTCCATGCAACTGAATTAATAATATCAGTAAATCCTCCAATGGAAAACATTTCTTCACCTTGTTCGATATCCCAAATTTTAATAGTAGTATCAGCAGATGAAGTGGCTAAAACATTAGAAGCACATGGATTAAAATTACAAGTTCCTACTTTTCTTTTATGTCCTTGAAGAGTTTGAGCAGCTTCATGGATATTTCCTGCTGGACACTCTTCAGGAATATTCCAAATACAAATATTACAATCTTCAGAAACTGAAGCAATAAGATTATCATTGAATGGGTTATAGTCAATGTCAAGAACTGTTCCTTTATGTCCACTAACAAGGCAGACATCAACTTGTTTTCCAACTTTAGTATATGGAATAACAGCAAAAGCTCCTCCTCCAGCTACGTCCCAAATCATTGAGAAATGTTTGCAACCACAAGCAATCATATTAGAATCCCATGCGGATTTAGTCATTTTGGTTCCACTGTATTGTTGATCAATTTTGAATTCAGTACCAAAGACGTGTCTATATTTTGAGGCTCTAACGAATTTGCCAGACATCTGAGTTTAATGATTTCAATTCAAGTTCTCGTCTTTTTGAGCTCTGCTCAAACGCTTGGATCTGAATCTAACTTTTCTCTGTTTTATTTTTAGAAATCTAATTGAAGGTTTTTTTTCAGATGGAACTTAAAATTTATATTTTTTTGTTTTTTTCTACTAAATTTTTGATAAATTAAACCAGAAATAGTAATAATGGAAAACTAAAATAAAACATATGGTGAGGAATTTTTTAAATAAAATAATTACTGAAAGAGAAAGTAAAAATCCATAAAATAATAAAATAGTAAAAAATAATAATAAAAATAGTATTTAAAATAGTTTTTAAAGAAGAGAAGAAGTGATTGAACTGGAGAACTAATAAATCAGAAGAATGTGGTTTATCTTTTTCATCCTTGTTTTGGCTTTTGTTAATGCTCAAGAAGCTGTTATTGAAACCCCAGATGAAAACCAGGATAATTCATTAAGAATAGAAAAAAATATTGATGATGATCTCTTTTTTACTGAAACAAATGTCACTATATCAATTACTGTTTCAAACGACGGTAAGTATAATGTATCCAATGTAATTATTTATGATGACATTCCTCCATTCTTGAAACTTGTTGAGGGTGAAAGTAATACTGCTACATTTGATTTTATTCCAGTTGGAGCATCTGTTAATCTTACTTATGTTGTTGTACCAATTCTTACTGGTACTCATTACATTGATAGTGCCTATGTTAATTTCACTTTAAATAGAGTGAAAAAACAAGAATTCTCAGACCCAGTTGGTGGTATTTTCATTCAACCATATAAAGGATTCGTTTCAGTATGTATTGAGTGGGGTGTTATTATTATTATTGGTTGTGTTCTTTGCCTTCTTTGGGCTTATTATAAATCTAAAAAAGAGGCTTATAGACAAAAAGTCCTTCGTTCTAAAGGATTTGGTACTGTTTCATCAACTACTACTTCTTCAAAACAATCAAGTTCCCCAAAAGTTGCTGAAAAACAAAAATCTGATTAAAATTGAATTACCGTTGATTCATTCAATTCTTTTATTTGTTTTATTTTTTAATAAATAAATTATATTTCTCATATTCTTGGTAAAATTATTTCGCTTCCTGAATGCTTTGAGACAAATCAACTTCTACTGTTTGGCTCAAGTTCTACATTATATAAACTTCTAATACACTCTTTTGGTTCAGTAAAATTTGAAAGTTTTAGTACTTCAAAAAATTTCTGTTTGTTTTTTAGAAGGTAAATTTCACCATGCACTTAATAAATGAATTTCAAAAGTATTTTATTCCTATTTTTGAAAAACATGTATTTTGTTGATTTTTTTTATTAATTTTAATAGATATTCAAAAGTAGTTGCTGAATAACTTTGATCATCTTCAACAAAAAGAATAAAATCGTTTGTTTGTATATTTTTAAGTATTGTTGTATTCTATTCAAAAAAAATAATTAATTGTTTGATGTTTTACATATTTTATTCTTCTTCAATCTGTATTTATTACTCTACTCTAAGTAGCTACCAAAACTTCATTTTCCAACTTTCTCCTGTTATTCCTTTAAATTTATTTAATGGTTCAATAAATGAATTTCTATTTCAGGAAATGATTTAGTAAAGTCATCTATAATATTATTGAATATAGGAAGGAACATGGAATGATGCATTGTTTAACAAAAGAATATGTCTAATTATCAATACTATAAGGTTTTGTTGAAGTATTTGTTTTATGCTTTTCAATAAAAAGGGAAAACAAGGTCTTTTTTTTTGATAGTAACAATAATGATTAGTAATGAGTATGAAAAAGATTGTAAGAAAAATAAACTATGAAGAAGAGCATTATTGAGTGTATTAATAGGGTTTTTAAATTTGTTTAAAAAGGAGTATTTAACAAAAAGTTGTTGAATATAAGAAATATTAAATTTTCATTACAGATGAATTATTTTCGTTGATGCTATAAAAATAAATTAGATGAACTTCCATAAGAAAGAATAAAAAGGAATTTATTTTTATAAACAAAAGAAATAATAAAGATGAAGTTTAGGTTAAAAATTTTGGGTAAGATGAAAACAAAATAAAATAAATAAAAGCGATAAAAATAGAAGAGAATAATTTTAAGATCAGAGGTAAAGACTATTTAAATCTAAGAAATAAGAAAAATATTCATAAGAATATGAGTAGTGAAGACGACAACCAAAATCTCGTTAAATGCGCAGAAGAAATTTGTGAGGTATTTGCTGATAGTGTTTCATCTCTTGTTTTAATGCTTGTTGCTTTACAAGAGAAAAATAGACCACCAAAACCAGAAATGCAAATGTCTATTCAAAGTGTTGCTGAACAATCTGATAATATTGGACAAATTGCAAAGGACCTTGCAGAAGATGATTATGAAGATTATCCTGATATTCAAAAAGAAATTCTTGATGCAGCTGAAGAAGTTTTTACTGGATCAAGTGACTTAACTCAAGCAGCTAATAACCTTAAAACATCTAATTTAAAAGATGGATATCAACAACTTGTTGATGGATGTAGAATTTGTGGGACTAATTGTATTAAATTGTTACAAATTGTATATGGTGCTACATTTAAGAAACTTGCAGCTGAACAAGAAAAAATGAGAGACCTTGCAGAACAAATGGACGCTAAATTAGTTGATGAAGACCCACAACGATTTGCAGATATTGCAGGAGATTTGTGTTCTGCTGGTTTACAAATTGCTGAAGATATGAGAACACAAGCTGATGGGGAAGCAGTTCCATCAGATAAAGCTGAGATGCAAGAACTTGCTGATAATATTGAGAAATATTCAAATGAACTTCTTGATGCTGTTAATGCATATCTTGAGGATCCAGACAATGAAAAGTTAAGAGTTGAAATGGAAGAGGCTAAAGAAAGATTAATGAAAGAAATGGAAAAAGCTAAACAAAGAGTTGCTAAAAGTCACGAAATTGTTAAAAAACAACAAGAAGCTCTTAATGAACAAACAGCTGCACAAAACGCTAGTATTGATGAAAAAATAAAGAATTCAAAACCAATTGTTCCAAAAGAAGAACAAGTAAAAACAGGACTTTCTGTATTAGAAAATTTAGATAAAGCTGGAGAAGCAGTTTTTTGGAATAATCCAAAAGATTTTGTTGCTTCAACAAATGAAAATATGCAAGACATTCCAAAATTTGTAGATGGAAGAATTGCTGATGCTAGAAATGAAAAGAGTCCAGAAAAAGAAGAAGAAGCAAAAAAAATTAAAGAAGATTTCCAAAAATTTGTAGACGATGCTAAAACTGCATTTTCAGAACCAGAAAACGATGCTAAAAAAGAGGCAGCAATTAAATCATATAAAGAAGATAGAGCAAGAATTGTTAAAGAATTACAAGAGCTTGGAGTTGAAGATATTCCAGAACAACCACAAGTTGAAGAAGCTACATTTGAAATTGAAGATGAAAGTGTTATTGCTAATAGTGAAGAAGCACTTAAAAGTATGCCAAAAGATAAACTAGATAAATTAAAGAATACATATAAACAAATAGAAGCAATGGAATATGCAGTAGATAATGGAGATAATAATGCATTTGTTTCTAATGCTAAACCTGTTATTAATGACGTTCAACAAGCAGCACAAATAATGAACCAAGAAGCAGTTAAAAATAAAGATGTCAAGAAAAAGAAAATCGCCGAAAATCTTAGTGAAGATCTTGCACCATCAATTAACGACTCTAAAGCATCACTTGTAGATAAAGAAAATAAAGCTAAAAAGGAAAAAGCTAAACAAAGTTTAGAAAAATTAAAAGAAGATGTTGTTGATGCTCTTGTTGTTGAAGGAATTACTAAGAAACAAGCTGAAAAAACACTTTCAGAAAAGGAACGAAATGAAGAATTAATTAAAGAACTTTTAACTATGAAGCAAGCAGCTGTTGAAATGCAAGATGCAGTTGATAATAAAAATACAGGTGCATTAGCTAAAAACGCTAAAGAGGCATTAACTGCAACAAAAGCTACTATTCCAAAAATGAAAGAAACAGCACAAAAAGAAAAGGAACCATTACTTGATGCATATGCTGATAATATTCAAAGAAAGTTAGTTCCAGCAATTAATGATTCTAATACATTTATTAAGGATTCAAAAGATGAGAAAAAAGCAGAACAAGCAAACAAAGCTATTAGTGAATATATTGAGGCAATTGATGATGCACTAAGAGAGTGTAAAGCAACACCAGATGAAATGCAAGTTGCTGTTAAAGTAAAAGAAGATAGTGAAGTTACAAAGAAAGCTGAGAAAACAAAAGAGTGTACTAAAAAAGCAAGAGACTGTTTATTTAATGGAGATTTAGATGAATTAGAAGATGCAATGGTAGAACTTGATGAAGCACAAGATGAGATGTTAAGAAATATGATAGAGGATGCTAAAAAGAGTGGCAGAAGAGATGACGTTAAAAAAATTAAAGATGTTAAAGAAGAATATGAAAAGGCTTCAGACGAGGTTAAAAAATCTAAAAAAGATCCAAAAGATAAAGAACAACGACAAAAAGCATCAGAAAAATTAAGAAAATATCAAGAAACTCTTGACAAAATCATAGAAGATGAAGGTAAACCAATAAAAGAAACAGAAAAAACACAAAATAAAGTTGACGAAGATTTAGAATTACTAAGAGAAGGAATTGAAAATGTTGACAGTGAGAAAGTTAAAGAAGCTAATAATAAGTTAACAAAAGACTTTGAAAAATATAAAGTTGAAAAAGAAAAAGATGGACAAAATGTTGATGACGTTTTAATCCCTGTTAAAGAAGCACAAGCTGCTGCTATTGCTGCTGCTCGTGATCCAAAGAATATTATTAAAAGAAAGAAGGCAGTCGACTCTATTAAAAAATGTAGAAATAAGTTATATAACAAACCAGAAGAAGTTAAGTCAGACGAAAAGCAAAACAAAGAAGACCTTAAAGAGATTGAAGAAATTGAGGAACTTGCAGATTCTATTATTCTTAATGATGATGAAGAAGCTCGTTTGTTAATTGAAGAAATTGCAAAGGCATCAAGAAGAGTTGCAGAAGCACTTGAAGAAGAAAATGAAGAAAAACTTAAGAGTGCATTAGAAGAGCTTGAAAAGAAAAAGAAGATGAAAGATGATGTTATCAATAAAGCAATTGAAAGATGTCCAGAGGAAGATAGAAAGTTGTTAAAACAATCTAATGAAAAAATAGACAAATTAAGTGAAGAACAAATCGAATTAGCTAAACAAGCATTAGAAGATGGTAATATGAAAGAAAAAGCATCAAAGGCTAAGAAGAATTCAGGAGAAACTTCTAAAATTGCACAATCAATGAAACCAATGTTAGGTAAGACAAGTGAAATAAAAGCAGAAGAATCATCTAAAGCTATTTTAGATGATTGTAAATTAGCAGAAAAACTTGCAAAAGAACCAAATGAACGATTGGCTAAAGAATTAAAGAAAAAATTAGCAAAAGATGTTGAAAATTATGAAAATGCTATTAATGATATGATTGAAAATGCAGATATTACTCCAGAAGAAAAAGAAGCTCTTTTGAAGAATCTTGAAGAAGTTAAAAAGAAAGCTAAAGAAGTTGATAACAATTTAGATAAACTTATAAAGAATCCAAAAGATAAACAAGCACAAGAAGATTTAATCAAATCAGCAAAAGAATTAAATGAGTCTGTAAATAAGATGAATGATAGCTTTGATGTTGAACCAAAAGCAAAATGCAAGAGAACAGAAAGAGTACTTGATAAGTGTAAAGAGGCAGTTCTTTGTAAAGACAAAGATGAAGGCAATAAAGCATTGAATGAATTAGATAAACAATATGAAGAGTTAATGAAATCAGTTGATGAGGCTATTGCCAAAGAAAAAGATGCTAAGAAAAAGAAAGAATTAGAAGAGGCTAAGAAAAAAGTACAAGAATCAATTGAAGAAGCTAAGAAAACTACCAAAAAGGCACTTGATACAAACAATGATGAAGATATCATTGATTGTGAAATTGCATGTGATTCAGCTAAGGCTGATG